TGTATGAGTGTATGTCAAATATTTAGCTTAACCAATTCTTTGTTTTAGAGATATATTTCAGTAGCATAATTTAATATTAATATATGAAGAACATCACATATGGTGAAAAATATTTTAATATTATAGGTTTCTACCTTATCTTTACGGAATTGTAGTCTTATTCTTTTTTATGCAACATACATATCATATTGTTGTTGCCTAATGAGAATATCTAATATCTTATAGAATTTGTATCGTCATATCAAATATTATACTTTTTTCAATAAAAAAGTTAATTGATAAGTAAAATTTAAAGTATTATTTATAGAATCTTTAATTTGATTAAGATCATTTTGTGATCAACCACTATTTTCTTATCTATTTTGTATAGCTATCAAGGAGTGTATCTTGTGAAATAACATTTTCTTAGATTAAAATGAACACAAATAAAAGGAAGTTCATACTTAAATAAATTCATACACAATATAAATTTAATAAATAAAAAAATATATGGAACAATTCAAAGCCAATGAACAAGGAAGGCGAAAATAAATATTCATGCTATATTCACTCTAGTGTTCCATTTGATTGAAATCTCTAGCCACCAACACTTTACTTTCTCCAAAGAATATATGGAAAATTTCATAGCCAATGAAGAAGGAAAACAAAAACATATGTTCATGCTATATTCACTCTAATGTTCTATTTGATTGAAATCTATTGCCACCAACACTTTACTCTCTCAGTTTATTTTTACTTATATCTATTAAGAATAATTATTATCATGACTATATTATCATATAATACATAAAAGTGAAAATCTATTTTAGAAATAGTGGACTTAACATCAAAATTTATAATTTAATGGATTACGTTGATGCCCGCTATTTTAGCAAAGTTAGGAAGAAACTCCTTCGTTTGAGGTTAAAAGAATAAAAAATCAAAAAACAAATAAGAAATATCTTTCTTTCCCCGGTCATATGCCTTTTTCGTATTTGTTTTTTACTACTGTCTCTCCCACAACTTGATCTATTTATTTTATTAGAAAAAAATAATCCACACTGTGCTCATTCATCATTGTTCACTCATTATGTTAACACTAATTGTAAAATTATCTCTCGAATGAAAACACATAAGAAATACATTAAATAAAGAAAACAAGAAAAAATATTGAAAATTCCCACGCACTATAAATATAAGTTTTCTATGTGAAGCAAAGTTCATAGATAATTGCACTTTTCTTTGTTCTCTTCTTTTCTTCTTTACTAGAATGTCAATACCTGCTAAGAACTTCGGCGAAACATATCAATGCATTGGGGGTGAATCATATATGAAAATTTTAAATGATCCCAAATTATCACGGAAAAGCAATTCCCAAGAATTTATATGGAGTGAATGGTTGTGATTTATTACCAAAGAAACATGAAGGTGGAAATTGTTGTGACTATTCGTAGGAAATTAGTCTTTTTAATAGATAAAATATGTAGATTAATTAAAAGGGCATTGATATTCTAAAATGATATAAATAATATTGAAGTATGTATGTGATAAATATCATAAGAGGAAAATATGAGTGTGAATTGATGAATGATTTGTTTCAACTTGTTCACCAACTCTTTCTTATGTGGTACCTCCAATTTCGTTGAATTTTGAAGTTATCCAATTATTGCAAATAACACTTGGGATATTTTAAGAAGAAGAGTAGAAAACTGAAAAAATCGTAGTTCAAAAGTGAGAGAAAACCTCTCTATTAATAGCTAACAAATAGTAGTATGAATAGGTACTGATTGTGCCTTATCAGACCCGTCGAAAAAGTCACTGCTCATTGAAAAAGTCATAACCCTTTGAAAATTTCACAACTCATCCGATAAGGCACAACTCTTTGGTAAAGTCACAACCCTTTGAAAAAGATCACAATTCTTCAAAAAAGTCACAACTCATCAGAAAAGTTACAACTCATCAGAAAAGTCACAATCCTTTAGTGATGAATATCGTAAGAGGAAAATATGAGTGTGAATTGATGAATGATTTGTTACAATTTGTTCACCAACTCTTTCTTATGTGGTATCTCCAATTTCGTTGAATTTTGAACTTAATCAGATGTTGCAAATAACAATTGGGATATTTTAAGAAGTAGAAGAGTAGGAAACCTAAAAAAAAATCGTAGTTTCAAACTGAGAGGAAACCTTTTTATTAAAGCTAACAAATAGTAGTATGAATAGGTATTGATTGTGCCTTAACAGAAAAATCACAACTCTTTGAAAAAGTAACTAATCATTGGAAAAGTCATAACCCTTTGAAAATGTCCCAACTCATCGGATAAGGCACAACTGTTTTGTAAAGTCAAAACCCTTTGAAAAAATCACAATTCTTTGGAAAAGTCACAACTCATCGAAAAAGTCACAATTCTTTAGAGGGAAAAAGTGTCTACTTTTCATAAAATATAATTAAATTAAATAGATAAAATAAATTGAGTATTTTTAATTGAGGTATTATAGTAATTCAACATTCATGTTTGAGAGTTCATGCTTTTAAGGTAGTATAGATATAGATAGATAGATAGATAGATAACACTGGTACTGATTTTTTGTCCTTACCATCATATATTCTGCTTATGCGTTACTAAGTTGACCAATTAAACTCGTGTATTTTCCATGGAGCTAACGTCAGAAAAAGACATCAACACTTAGCTTACATGCACCAGAGAGTGGTGACTTTTGAAATTCAATAAATCACTATTGTTATAAGAAACGTTACCTGGAGCTACATAGCAAATGGTACCCATAACTCCAAGTGAGCTAAACTGATGTAGATTCGATTCACTACTGAATTTAGGAATGAATTTCACTAAACCAAAATCACCCAAATGAGCTCTGAGATCTTTATCTAGAAGAATGTTCTGTGGTTTTATATCACAGTTAATCATGGGTGTTTGACACTCATGGTTAAGATAATGAAGTGCATATGCCACGTCTATTATTATATTCATTCTCTGAAGTATGGTCAAGCTACTCTTCTAATGTGTCTCCTTCTCTGGCATGAACTGAAAGACTAAAGCCTTAAAGTCATTTCCCTTGAAATCAGAACTTGAGCATACACTTGTTCCTGTGCCTTATGTTTCTCGATGCCTAGCATATTTGCTAAGAAGCCTTTTGAAGCACCTTCAAGATGGAGTTTGAGTACTTTGACAGCAACAACCGTTCCATCAGAAGCAAAAGTTCCCTTGTAAACAGTTCCAAAATTGCCAAAGCAAATAAGATTTTCAGCAGAAAATCCACCAGTTGCAATGCGGAGCTCTTCATAAGAAATGTTGGGGTAGAAACTTGCAGATTTAGACCTATCTTCAGGCGCTGGTTAATCTTTCAAATTTGAAAATATTCCGGTGACAGGAACCTCACCCCTTGGATTGTTAAAAGATAAGTTCAAGTAGAGTAAGGAAGCCTGATAAATTATTTAGGGAAAGATCGAAGGATTGGATATCCGGAAAATCTTCTACAATTGGAATGGTTCCTTGGAGGGAGTTTCTCTTCAAATAGATCTCATCCAAGGCCCAACATTTTCCAAGAGTTCGTTGTGAGAGAAATCAAGATAAGTAAGATGACCTCCCAAGTTTGTCAGTCTTCCAATAGAATCTGGAATGCTACCTGTAAGATTGTTGTTACTCATCTCAAGTAGATTCAAATTCACAAGGTTTGATATCTCTCTGGGTCTGCTTCCACTAATCATGTTTCCGTAAAAGTGTAGGCCTTGTAACTGACTAGAAAGGTTGACTGTTGAATGAGGTAATGTAGCTACAAACTTGTTGTCTCCAAAATGGAGCATTTGTAGACTGCTGCAGTTGGTAAGAGAATTTACAAAGTCAAGGCCATCATGCTTACCGTGTCCAAGTTGGTTAATCCAAAACAACAAATTCCGCAAGTTATGGAACCCTTTGGGTATATTTCCAGTAAAATTGTTTATGGTAAAATCAATCTCTAGCAATTTATAAGCATTGGCCAAAGAGGATGGTATGGAACCAATGACTTGACATTTCTCGCCAAGTAAAGTATTAGGAGATTAGGGAAGTAGTTCCCTAAATCGAATCTAAGATTACCAGAAAAGTTGTTAAAGGAAAGTGATATTAGTTCCAGGGATGACAAATTGTACAACAGAGGAGGGAACTCCCCAGATAAGCTATTTAGTGACAATCCAGGAAGCCTCAACTTGGTCAATCGAGCTAAAGAAGTTGGCACTTGTCCCTCTAGATTGTTGTACGATAAATACAACTCTTCTAAATATGTAAGATTTCCAATAGAACCTGGAAAGAGTCATGTCAGGTTGTTATTTCTGAGAAACAACTTGGATAGGAATTTTCCCCACAAGAGTGTTGTGTTCCAGAACAAGGCTCTTGAGCTCAACACAATGTGATCGATTAATTGGAATTTCCCCTATTGGATAGGTGAAATTCAAAATCAGGTTTTAAAGCCTTGACAGTGTTAGAAAATTAAGATTTGTCTAGAAACTCCTAGATTGGAGATATTTTGTATTAGATATCTTAGAAAAGTAAGATTTGTCTAGAAACTCCTAGGTTGTAGATATTTTGTAGTAGATATGTTAGAAAATCAAGTTTTTTTCTAGAAACTCCTAGATAGTAGATATTTCGTAGTAAGATATGTAGTCTTAATTTAAAATGAGTGGTGGTTAGTGAGCCACATATGTGCATAGTTTGGTGTGAGACATTTTGCTTACTATGTGGTTGTAATTATCACACTTTATCTATAAATAGACCATATGTAATGAAACATCTAGTGAAAAAAAAATTGAACTCAAGAAAACTTAAGCCTTCTTCTTCACTTTCAGATTTTCTGTATCAATTTACAGCTGCGATTTCCTACTGTTTACACCTTGTAGACCTGAAGTTCTTCTTCCTTTTCGTTGTAACATGGTATTAGAGCCTATTTCCTAAGGGATCTAAATCAAATTTTGTTTGTTTCGCTAATCTACTTTCCGTTCTTTGTTGAATTTATTTGCTGAAAAAATTCATGGCACCTGAAAATCAACCAACGACAGGTCCTCCGAATTTTACTGGAGAAAATTATCACATATGGGCCATCAAAATGAAGGCTTATCTAAAGGCTCTCAACTTATGGGAAGTTGTTGAGCTTGGAGAACCTGCTGTCCAGCCATTTAGAGTTAATTCAACTCTCAATGAAATTATGAAGTATGATGAATTGATGACTACATCTCCACGAGCTCTCACCTGCATACATTCAAGTCTTACAGACGTGATGTTTACGAGGATTATGACTTGTGAAACAACCAAAGAGGCTTGGAATAAGTTGAATGAGGAGTTTGAAGGCAACAATAGAGTAAAATATGTTAGACTCTTAGCGTTGAAGAGAGAGTCTGAGCTTTTGGAGATGAAAGACTCAAATAGTGTGAAAGAATATTCTTCAAAGCTGATGGAGATTGTGAACCAGATAAGAATACTAGGTGAAACCTTTCCAAATCAGAAAGTTGTAAAGAAGATCTTGGTCAGCCTTCCAGACAAGTTTGAATAAAAAATCTCAGCTATTGAAGAGTCTTCTGACTTGACTACTATTACAAAACACGAACTAATCTCCAAATTTCAAGTCCAAGAGCAGCAAATCACTATGAGAAGTGAAGGGATAGTAGAAGATGCCTTTCAAGCACGGCATAAATTCAAACATCAAAAGGAAAGCAGAAAAGTCTGGTCGGATAAATCTGGAGAGGTAAAATCTGATGGAAACCAAGGTGATTTGTCGATAAAAGGAAAATTTCCACCTTGTGGCATTTGTAAGAAGAGAAACAACTTAGAGAAGAATTGTTGGCAGAATTCAAAGAGGTCTCCTATTCAATGTAGAGATTGTAAGAAGTATGGTCACATTGAGAAGTATTGTAGGCAAAAGCAAAATCAAAGTGGCCAGTCTTCCCATCGAGTGAATTTCGCAAATGATCATCAAGTTTGAAAATTAAAGGAGGAGGTTTTCATGGCCTCACAAACATCACATATTGACCAATGTAAATGGTATGTTGATAGCATGTGCATAAGGCACATGGTAGTTGATGAAAATCTATTTGTTACCTTGGAAAAATCTGATAGAACCAAAGTGAAGCTTAGAAATGGCGCGTTGGTGGAAGCTCACGGTAGAGGGTCAATAAAATTTCCTACTGACAAAGGTACGAAATTTATTGATGATGTTCTGTATGTGCCAAATTTATCTCAAAACTTGTTAAGTGTAGCTCAATTGGTTCATAAAAATTATTCTCTTAATTTTAAGGACAAACAATGTTTCATTTATGATCCTAAAGGATGTGAAGTAGCTAAAATTAGAATGATTGACAATTCCTTTCCAATTTCATGCTATTCTATTGATACTTGCTCTTTTAATGTTGAATTGAGCTATACTTGGCATTGGCACAAAAGGTTCGGTCATTATAATCTTAGCTCTCTAGTGTATATGCAATCAAAGGTTATGGTGCTTGAAGTACCCAAAATTGACATGTGTAGAGATGTTTGGGAGTCATGTCAATTTGGTAAAATGCATAGACAATCCTGTAGGTTTTTAACAAGAGAATAACAGATGTTTACTAAGAAAGAAAAGAGAAGAAACAAGGTTAAGTTTCACTGTTTATTGAAATAATGACTGCAATATAAATACATGAATGCATAACTTAAAAAGCTAAAGAAAAGGAGTGAAATAAGCTAACATTATCTCCAATAACTAAAGCCTAAAATATAGCAAATAACTAATTAGATTCTGCCAAATACTGCAGCCTAATTTATCTGAACTTAATCCTACTTTTAAGTTGTATATTGATATAGCAGAAAGTGGAACTAATCTCCAGGTTTCGAGGCACCACTTTCAACACTCCTCCTTGACTCAAGAGCAGTAATCCCAAGTCTTTTTCTGAGAAATTCAAATCTTGCTCTAGGTAGGGCCTTAGTTAAAATATCAGCAGTCTAAAAATCAGTTTTGCAGTGCACCAAGTCTATGTCTCCATTCTTTTGCATCTCCCTCAAGAAATAAAGCTTGATCTTGAAATGTTTTGTCATTTCATGTGAAACAGATTTATTTGCAATTGAAATTGCAGCTTGATTATCAACAAAGATTTCAGTGCTTTTCTTTTGTTCTATATACAAATCTGTCAGTAGCTTCCGAATCCAAATGGCTTGATTCACAACTGATGCAGCTGCAATGTACTCTGCTTCAGCTGTAGATTGAGCCACAATATCTTAATTCTTTGAACAACAAGAAAAAATTCCAGAACCAAAACTAAAACAGTAGCCTGAGGTGCTTCTCATATCATCTAAGCTACCAGCCCGATCACTATAAGAAAATCCAAGAGACTGAAAGTCTGATACTTTCATAAATATTATGCCAAAATTCGCAGTACATTTAACATATCTAATCACACGTTTAGCTGCTTGAAAATGAATTTCGCTAGCACAATGCATATATCTTGAAAGTAAACTCACAACATAAAGAATATTTGGTCTTGTTGCAGTCAAGTACATTAGGCAACCTATCAGGCTCCTATAAAGTCCTTCATCAACCTTTTTAGCTCCATCATCTTTGCAAAAATTCTCCTTTTGATTCATAGGAGTTGTTGTAGACTTGTAGTCTTCCATTTTGAATTTTATGAGAATATCTTTAGCATATTTCTGCTGGCATATAAAGACCTCATGTCCTTTTTGCTGAATTTCTATGCCAAGAAAGTAGAAAATTTCACCAAGGTCTGTCAGCTCAAAAACTTCCATCATTTCAGTCTTGAACAAATTAATCAAGTTCAAATTGCTACCTGTAACTAGCAATTCATCTACATACAAAGAAACAATGGTTAAATCAGAATATTCTTTTCTAATATAGAGTGTAGACTCGGTGAGAATTTTTGTAAAGCCTAATCTCAGAAGATGAGCATCAATTCTGCTATACCAAGCTCTAGGAGCTTGTTTTAAGCAATACAATGCCTTCTTTATAAGGTACACTTTGCCTTCTTTGCCTTTGGTAGAAAAACCTTTAGGTTGTTCTACAAAGATTTCTTCTTCAAGGTAGCCATTTAGGAAAGCTGATTTCACATCAAGCTGGTGTATCTTCCATCCCAGTTGAGCTGCTAAAGCTGACAACATTCTTATCGTATCCAAACGGGTGACAGTAGCAAAAGTTTATGAAAAATCTACTCCAAACATTTGTGCGTACCCTTTTGCAACCAGCCTAGCCTTGTACTTGTTTATGGAACCATCAGGATTGAGCTTGGTCCTATAAACCCACTTGACTCCAATAGCCTTCTTGTGCGATGGTCTGTCAACCAGCTCCTATGTGTTGTTCTTTTCTATGATTTTGAGCTCCTCTTGCATTGCATATCTCCATTTTTCATCTTTAGCAGCCTCCATAAATCCTCCTGGTTCTAAAATTGCAACATTACACCTTTGATATATATCAGAAAGTGCTCTTGTGCCTCTAAGAGGTACATCATCAACATTTTCATCTAGAGTTTCTAGATTTTTTTTCTTTTCATCATCTTGCTAGCTCCAGGTGTCATTTTCCACGAACTTGACATCCCTTCTAACAATGATTTTGTCATTTTGAGGTTGATAGATTCTATAAGCTTTTGAGAGATTGTTGTATCCTACGAAAATTCCAGTTCAGCCGTCTTATCCAACTTATCTCTTTTCACCTGAGGTACATAAGAAAAACAAATACAACCAAATATTTTTAGATTTGTTAGCAAAGGTTTGTAACCAAACCAAGCCTCAACTGGTGTCTTCTTTTGCAAGGCCTTAGTTGGCAATCTGTTTAGCAGAAATACTGCTGTATTTGTAGCTTAAGCCCAAAATATCTTTGGCAGTCCTTTCTCATGGAGCAAACACCTTGTCATCTGCATTAGCATCCTATTTTTTCTTTCCACTACTCCGTTTTGTTGGGTAGTATAGGGTGCTATTAGCTTATGCTCAATTCCCGCTTCATTACAAAGCTTGTTGAATTTTTTTGAAGTATACTCGGTTCCATTATTGGTTCTTATCACCTGAATTCTGCAACCACTCTAATTTTCCACAAAAAACCTTGTATTTCTAGAATACATCAGCGACCTTAGATTTATAATTCAAAAAATAAATCCAACAATATCTGGTACAATCATCAATAAAGGCAATATAGTACTTACTACCCTTTAAAGGTGGTGTTTTCTGAGGTCCGCCTACATCCGTGTGAATAAGTTGCAGCTTCTGCTTTGCCCTCCATGATGAATTCTGAAAAGGCAACCTTGTTTGCTTCCTATACTGACAAGCTTCACAAGCAGGCAGGTTCTTCTCAAGGCTTGGAAGACCTTCTTCTAGTTGATTTTCTTTCATGAAGAGTATATCATCATGATGATAATGTCCGAGTCTTTTGTGCCATAGTTCTGAGTTATTTTCCAACTTGATAACTGTTGCTTGCTCCTCGTCCAACAAGTTCAAGGAAAAAAAATTTCCTCTCATCTTGACCTTGAACATCTCTTTATTATTAGCATCCTTGAGGACACATTCTTTTTCTTCAAACAACACTTTCAAACAATTTTCAAGTAGTTGTCCAACACTTAAGAGGTTTTGATCAAGATCGGGAACAAAAAGAACATCAACTATAAGTTTCAAACCTGTAAGGCTTTCAATTGCAATAGTTCCTCTGCCTCTCGCATTGAGATATTCTTCATTTCCAATTTTCACTTTGGAAATGAAAGATCTATCTAGATCTTTAAAGAGTTCTTGGTCGCTGGTTATATGATTTGTGCATCCACTATCAATTAACCAACTTTCAGAAGCGCTTTCGCTATCAAAACAAGTTGCTACAAACAATTGCTCTTCTTGATATTGATTTACTGTAGCCTTAGCTTCTTCTTGTTGCGGTTGTGACTTACATACCCTCTCCACATGGCCTAATTGACCACATTTGTTACACTTGATGTCTGGTCTTCACCAACACTTCTGTTGAGAGTGATTTGTCTTTTTGCAATGAGGGCAGGGAGGCTGACTTCCTCCCTGATTGTTGTAATTAATTCTTGGCCTTTGTTTCTTGTTCTTTTTCCTTCCTTTGTTTGACTCGTTGTTCAGTGAATTAGCTTGAAAAGCACCTTCAACATAACCTTCTTTCCTCATTAATCTCCTTTGCTCTAGTGCCTGCAAAGCTTTAACAAGTTCTGCCAAGGTAACGCTTGACAGATCTTTAGAATTCTCTGAAGAAGAAATTGTGGTTTCATATTTCTCAGGAAGTGTAACAAGAATCTTTTGAACAATTCTTTCATCAGCGAAATCCTTACCAAACAATCTCACCTTGTTGGCTAAGTTGAGTAATTGGTCTGCATAGTCTTTTATAGTTTCTGATTCTTTCATTCTCTTAATTTCAAATTCTCGAATCAGATTAATCACTTGCATATTGTGCACTCTTTCATTTCATTGGTATTCTTTTTTGAGATACTCCCAAATTTCTGCAGCAGACTTCATTTGCATAATTCTGGTAAGAATTGAAGGGGATACTGCCTAGAAAAGGAAAGCTTTAGCTTTGGC